TGATAAGATGGCAGCTGCTTCTATGAGTTTTGTAGAAGACAAGTTTACTGAAAAGAAGTTTCTTTAAAGAAGAGAGTCTTTTTAATTAAAGTTGGTGTTGCATATATCATTTTGAATTTATTTTGTAACAGTTTATCTGCTTCTAAATAAGCTGTTTCTTTGTAAAATTTGTTGGTTTGGGGATAAGTAAGAGACTTATCTTGAGAATTATAAAATATTAAAACTCTTGCAAGAAAGTCAGTACTGATAGGCTTAGAGGTAAGAAGGTCAATTGCTTGTTGTTTGTTGAGTTTGTCAATATTATGGTTTTGTGCTGCAATATTTTAATAAGATTAAGATATAAATAGAAATAATAACTGCGATGTTTAGGATTGGTTTAAACATTATTAATTTTGCAAGCAAAATTTTCAGCTTCAGCTGCAAGTTGGTCAAAAAGAGAAGTTGGAATCTCTTTGTTGAAAGTTGCTTTATGTTTACTATTTTTATGAAATATAGAAGAACTAATATTAGGTTATTTCTAAATTTCATTTTCTTGTTTTGAAAAATCAATAAAAGATTTTTAAAAAATGTTGTTTAAAAGCTTTGAAGAATTGTGCTAATATTGTGACTTTTTGGAAGGAGTTTGGATTTCTGTTTGTTTTTCTTTGTTTTTGGGTTCAACTTTTTCTAAATAAAAGCATGTTGCATTTGTACAAGTAAGTATATAATAGTTGACTTGTTTGATTGTATTATTACGATGCTCTTGCAAGTTGTTAGATTTTTCAAATTGTAAATTAGTAGGTATGGTTTCTTTAAGGTGTAAGATAAATTGTTGTCAGAATTGAAATTTAAGAGAGTTAAAAATCTTGGTTTCATCAAGAGGCTCAGTAAATTGTCGATTATATAAAGGAAAGAATTGTTTAAACCATTGTTTAAAATGGTCTAATGAGTTTTTAAGAGATGTTATGTTTAATTTTTGTAGAAAAAGTGTTTTGGGAATATTGAATTTGAAATAAATATTAAATTTGTTATCTTATTTAATTGTAAGATATTGCTTATCTTGATCAATATCAATTACTTCTAATAAGGTTGTAAATCCTTTAGATTAAAGTTTAAAGTCTTCAGCAAATTTAATATAATCAATTGCTGATACATGTCACTCTGGTTATACTGACAGCTGGTTTAACCGACATTCAGTTATATCGATATTTTTTTAAAAAAAAAATCTATTATCTTAAAATTTCATTGGTTATATCAACAATCATAAGAAACATTAACTATACTAGCATACTGACAACTTTAGCATTAAAAATTATTTATATTAATTGTTTGTTGCTGTTTATAGTGACAAAATTTTATAAACTGACTGTCATTATAGATAGACCAATTAAATTAGATTAGCTTTATTAATTAATGAAAACTGTAAATCATAACACTAACCAAGCTAATACAATACCTCATGTAAAAGAAAAGCTACTGTATCAAAGAAAGATACTGTAGCCATGACCCTTTTTTTTTTACATCATTTCAAGAAACATATGAAAGCTACTCCTGCTTACCTTATCCAACAATAATATGCAAATATAATTAGAAAAAACCTAAGCTAACAAGATACATCAGGACTATTAACTAGCAACCTGCACACTTAAATATCTATAAAGTTATTTCATTAACAAGAAATCTAATTTCAAAGGATTAATTTTGATATAATGCTATACTACATATAGTCATTGGTTGTATGTAATAAATTATGATTCTTTTTTTAGAATAATTATTAAAAAATCTACGTGCACATACATGTGTAGTTTAGTTTCAAACCAGCTATTACATGTATTGATCCAGGAATAATTAATTATTATTGCTTGGTCAGATGACTTTATTTAAACAAAATAAATGACTTTATTTAACAAAGTTGAAAAGCATATAGGATAAGGGCTCACTATCCTCAGTGGCTCTAATATACATAATCAATACCCCAAATTCAGAGACATCAATTATTAAACAGTAGGTGAAATGGATATCAATACTACTTTGCATATCCCATGAAACAATGAAACAATAACAACAATTCATAGATTAAATGCCTTCTATATAGAGAGAAAATGCCAATCATTTTCATAGTATAAAGAGAATCGGTATATATATATACTTATGTCAAAATAAATGAGGAATCATTTTAAATATGGTCCTTGCACTGCCATTTGCAGCTGTGGAGCCAAAAATGATATAGGTTCTTGCACTGCTACTGCAGTCATGGAGCCACACAACAGGTCCTTGCACTGCTAGAGCAGCTGTGGAGTCTAACACAAACATCATTTAATTAAGTTTGAGTGGGTAAGGGAGGGCAATAGAGCCAACCTTTACAAGGTGAGCAATAGTGAAAAGAAAGATAAATCTCTTCATTAAGACAATTATCCTTAAATACTCTTTTTACATTCCTCTGCATTACTAATTTATTCTTGATTACAGCCATTGTCTATTACTTATGCTACTGATATAATCATTACCCATAACAATATGAATTTCAAATAATCATATGTTAATCCCAAATTACTTGTTAATAACAACAATTAAAGAACTACCATAAAAGGATACACAAAAACCTGAAATGCAATTGGCCATAAAGTCATCTGATCTCTCGCTCTGTCATTTTGTTGACAGGCTTTACAATAGATTCTCAATTAGATAATCATTTAAAGATGTATGCACTAGAAAATAAAGGTTAGTGGAAAATATTTCTTAATACATTATACAAAAATTTACTTGTGAAAATGTGGTTGCATGTGAAACTTGAAGTGTAAAGAGATAATATTCATAGCAGTAGTTTAAAAAGTAAAATAGTTTTTAAAAGTAAATGATTGATGTTATAAATAAAAGGTTAAATTTCTTTAATATATTACAAAAATTTATGAAATATGTCTAATAATGATAGTGAAATTATTTCCACTAAGCATAAAAGCAAAACTAAAGAAAAAAATAATGTAATATCTAAAAAACCTAGAAAAATATTAACTGGCAAGCAAAAAAAAATATTATGTTAATTTGCATGAGATAATCCAAACTTTACTCAACAAGAATTGGCAGATAAATTTGAAATCGGTCAAACAACTGTAGCTGATATTCTTGCACAATCATTATATTGGCTTGGTCTAGATGAAGAAAGTACCATGGCATAACAAAAGCGGAATCGACCACCAGACCATCCACAATTAGAAGAAATTCTTGCACAATGGTTTGACCTTGCACTAGAAAACCATTTAACAATTACAGGATTAATTTTACAAGAAAAGGCCAAACAGGTTGCAGTGACTTTAAAAATTCAAAATTTTGTTGCATCTGATGGTTGGTTGCAAGGTTTCAAAAAACGATATCATATTGTTTGTACTACACATTGTGAAGAAGCTGCTAGTGCCCTTATTGAAAAATTACCTGAATTTCGTCTATCTTTACAAAATAAAACATCAAATTATGATTTAGTAGATATTTATAATTGTAATGAAATGGCACTTTATTGGCTTTTAGAACCTTCAAAATCACTTACACATAGTCATATTTCAGGAGTTAAAAAGCCAAAGAATTGTGTTACTATAATGTTAACATGCAATGCAGTTGATGATAAATTATCATCACTTTTTATTCATAAATTTGAAAATCCACACTCAATAAGAGGAATAAAAAAATCATCTTTACCTGTTCAATACTATTGGAACAAAAAAGCATGGATGCAAATTTTAATTTTTCAAAACTGGATATCTAATCTGGATCATCGTATGCATTGTGCCCATTGAAAAATTCTTCTACTTTTAGATAATTGTTCTGCACACTCTATTACAGGTTTAAACTTGAGTAATATTAAAGTTGTTTTTTTTCCAAAACTTACTACTGCATGGTTACAACCATGTGATGCAGGCATAATCTATTCATTTAAGGTTAGTACATATTTCTTATATCATTAATATTCTCATATAATTACAGTAACACTATACAAATCTGTAAATGAGGCACTTATAGTGTCAATATCGTAAGTTATTACTACAAAACCAAATTGCCATATTTGATGAATCAAACCTTACTAATCAACCTCCAGATCCTGTTACAATTTATGATGCAATTCAATTTGTTTCACAAGCATAGAATAAAGTTTCTGAAAATGTAATTATTCATTCTTGGCAAAAAACAGGTATTCTTCCTTTTACAGAAATTAATAAATTTATAGATTCAGAATTTCTTGTTGATTTAACTAATGAAGAAGAAATGGAGTTAGAAAATCTTATTACACAATTTCAAAATTCAAAAAATCCTGAAAACCCTGAATACTTAAATATTTCTACATATAAATCTATTGAAATTGAGAAAAATTATACAATAGGTGAAATGCCTACAGTCGAAGATATTATAGCAGAGATACAAGAAAATGAGTCTAAAAAAGAACCAAAGCAACAAATTAAACCTGTTACAGCAATTCAAACCGTTATAGGATTAGATTCAATATTAGGCTATATTGAACAACCAGAGTTAAGTCTTGAGATTGATATTAAAGTTTTCTCAGAACTCAAGTGGATATGAAAAGAGCTTGCTTATCTAGTAAAAAAGAATTCTAAACAAACAAAATTAGACTCATTTTTTTATTAGAAAATAATTTTATTGAAAATTTTGATATCTATTTTTTTTTTCTAAAAAAAAACCAATTTGTTTTTGTTAAATTAAAGAAATTTTATGTATTTTTTGTTTTATCTTATTTTTTTTTGTTCTACTTTATTTTTTTTTGTTCCATATTATATTGTAGGTATACTTTTTTTTGATAATTAAATTATATAAGAAATAGGGCATCATAAAGAAGCTGCAGTATAATCTTAAGTAAGAGAATTTCAGATCTGATTTTTACTGTATCTTATCATATGCTATTAATAATCAAGGTATAAATTAAATAAATCAAATTCTAAAATTTTCTATTATTATTGCTCGATCTATTTATTACATGTTTCAGGGAATACATATATGAGAATATAGTTTGCTAGAATATCGCTACTATATAGCATGAATAATAAGCTTTTAACTATGAAGTAATTACCAATATAATAAGCTTCTAACTATAAAGTAATCACCAATATAAACAAACAGATAGCAATTAAGTATAAGATAGATAATTAGTGTAAAACACTGATAGTGATAGAAAGAGGAGGATCGTTTGTTAGTGAAGTTATATGTTAAAAAAATAAATTATAGATAAGTGATGCATTAATACTTAATTTATGTAACAAAGTTTTAGTTGCTTTTCATTAAAAAAACTTGAATTTTTCTAAGCCAATAGCATAACAATAAAAGAGGGCTCTTAACCTTATGTCTGAAGAGCCTTAATTTCAGATTAAGTGGTCAAAGAGCTGTAAGCACAGTCTTGAGCCATGATAAAACAATTCTCAAATGGTCATTGTACTGCCCTTGCAGTCTCGGAGCTACGAGAAAGTATCATAGATGATCAGAGTCAAATAGTTCTGATCAGTTATAATAACTAAGCTGTAGTTATATGAGCATAAAGCTGGCCTACAGTTATATGATGAGCGATAGTGAAACCAAAGTGAAGAATAAACTTTACAGCTAATTCATTTTATATCTCTGAATAATTTCCTATTACAAAATCATTAGCACATAGTTTTCATTACAATTTAATAAATTTCTCATTAATTTATAATTTGTTCGAAATTACTATATTTTCCAATTAACGGTATTACGTTTGGCTGATGTAACAGAATCCTGTGATCTCACAATAATGCTGGCTACATCACTTTGTTGACTAGCCAGTCAGATATGCAATGTAATAAGAGTGATAGAAAAGTTTAAATAAAAATATGTGAAAATTAACAAGAGTAGAATGGAAGTACTTTTAATTTAGTAGATCTTTATTATCAGATTGATAACATACTTGCGTCTGATATAAACTCTTGGTCTAATAAAACTTCTGAAGAGATATATAGCATAACTTCATAAATATAACCTCTGAATCATTTCTTTTTCTGGACTACCTAAATTTTCAGTATGTTAAAATTCTACAAAGTGTTAATCTGTTTATATATTGAGTCTATCTTACATGCATTTCATGAGACTATAAATTTGTATAAATGTATTAGTTCCATATATATTTAATAAAATGTACAAATAATGATTGCACAAAAATTTTTTATATTTATTATTAATGTTCACAACCAGATTGCGAGCTAAGTCCTTCAATTCTTTTAACACTGTCTAGTCTATCGAATGTAATGCAATCACTAATAACCTTTTCTATTCTTTGATTATAACTATACTTCATGTTCATTATAATATACATATTTTTTACAATTAGCATATCGATACCTTTATTCAATTCTTAAATTTAATGAAATCATATTTTATACTTACTTAATCGACATTTTCATATAATACCATTATGATGTCGATATAGAAAGAGATGCTTGTTCTACTAACATATTGATATATTGACAAAATTCTTATTGCTAGAGGGTGTCGGTATAACCAGAGTAATGTGTAGTTATTAGAGAGGTATAGGTGAATACATGCAAGATTAATACAAAGTTGTAATCTGTTTTGGTTTGTATAAGATGAAATAGTTGCAGATGAGGCAAAGATTTTTGAATAGTTAAACTTTGTAAAGAGAACTGTTGTAAAAGTTAGAATTAGTTTTTTGAAAGTATCTTCAAGAATATTAAAAGGAATAGTAATAGCTTTGTCAGTTTTGAAGTTATTTTGTTGAATAAATTCAACAAAAAATTCCAATCTACTTCCTGCCATTATATGAATAATATAGAAGAAGTTAGATTTAAGTGCTTTACGATTAATTTTCTTGTCAGAATAGAAGTCATATAAGTGTTATTTAAGAAGATTGAATATTTTTCTAAAAAAATCTGTTTCAAGTTGGGTTTTAGATTTCATTACTTTAGAGATAAGAAAGTTAGTAAGCTAGTTGAATGTTGGATTAGCTTTAATATTATTTGGATTACTAGAAATATTGAGTTATTGTTTGTTTAAAGATTGTTTTTCTTGTTGTTATTCTTTTGACTGAGTTTGTTTAAATTGTTTTTGTTGTTGTTGTTGTTGTTGATCTTGATTGTTTTGTTGTTGCAATTGTTGTTATTAATTTTGATTGCTGGATAAAGTGTTATTAATATCTATATTATCACTGTTTATATTTTCTTCTGTTAAGATTAAAGAATTAAGTTAAAATGATAATAGGTTTCTATATTCAGAAAATGATTGTTGAATTTTTTGAATGAGAGTAGTATGTAAACTTTGTTGAGATGTAGAAGTGCTTTGCTAAGGTGTAGAAGTACTTTGTTGGTTATTAAATTGGGGTTGAGTATATGATTTATGTTGAGGTTTGTCATTAAATAGAATAGCATTAGCTGCTAAATAGTGTTGGTTGTTAGTTACTTTACAGTTAATAGGTAGGTTACATATAGCATATGTATGTTAATGTGTAATAGGTAAAGAAAATAAGCTAGGAGATGGTGAGATGAATTCAGTAAAGTTTATTATGTTGTGTACAAGAGATTTTTTATTTTTAGTTTTTTTTAATTATATTAATTGCTTTATATTTATTGTATGTTTGGTTTGTTGCTGAAATAAAGTATGTATGAAATTTTTTACAAAAATAACTAACAATAGAACTTGTTGTTAGTGCCTTAAAAAAGTGACTAGTTTTAATAACACTTCTGAGTTTAGTTTTTATACAGCTACTAGGTTGTTTGTTAGGTAGAATAAGATGTGATGCATTTATGTTGCCTTCATGAATTCTAATACCAAAACTTTTAGAACATTTTTGGTAAAAGTAGTCAAGGTTGATAGTATCAGGTGTGACTATTACCAAGGTAGGCATCTTGTATAACTATGTGTACTAAATAATTTTGTAACATTAAAATTTGTTAAAATATTTGTAGAACTAAGTTTTTTAAAAGAATTTGTTGAATTTAAGAGTTTCTAGGCTGTTTGGGAAGAATCTGAAAAGTGTGGGACTATTGGAAAAGGTAATTGGATGTTTAGAAAATTTTAATGAGTATCAAAAAAGTGAAATTTCTGGGTCAACCCAACAAGTTTTCCTAAAATTGTCTTTGAAAAATCCTGTAAAGACAGGTTTTAGTTTTGCCTTTTTAATGGTATCTCAATGGGTTTTAATCCATTTTTGATAAAATATATATCAAAATGTTCGTTTTGGTGAGCTTAACAAAGTATTACTAAAATGAAAAGTATATTTAATTAGTAAATTTTCAAGAAAATAAGCAAAAACCAAAAATTTGGTTTTTGTCACTTTTCTCAGCAGCCAGATATTGTTGGAGCATAAAACTTAGTCAACTAGGAGCAAAAAAGTGTCCTGAACAAGTTTACTTAAGAGCAAAAGTAAGTTTAACTTAATAAAATAATTAGAAATAATTAAATGTTTTTAGCAAAAATTTGGTATAAGTGATCTGCAAAAAGAGTTACGGTTTTTTACTTCTATAAAATATATATATATTATTATTTTATTATTAATATATATTTATATATAATTGTATATAATTTAAAAGTATTTTATTAATTAATTTAATATTGTATATAGTTTAAAAATATTTTTATATAATTAATGTATATAGTCTAAAAGTATTATTATTAAATTAATATATAGGGACCAATTCTATAACTCTCTCTGTAAATCATTTGTACTAAAATTTTACTAAAAACATTTAATTATTTCTCAATATTTTATTAATTAAACCTTACTTGTTCTCTTAAGTAAAGTTGCTGAGCATATTTTTCTTCTCCTAGGTGGCCAAGTTTTAAGTCTTTAGAATACTTGGTCACTGAGAAAGTTTCAAAAATCAAAATTTTGATTTTTGTTAATTTTCAAAATATTTTATTAAGTAAATATATTTTGTTACCTATTAGAAAAATACTAAGCACTCTGAGTTGGTCATTTTGATATATAATTCATTATAAACAAACCATACTTCATCAAGATACAAATAAAAAGGCAAAAACTAAAACCTGTCTTTACAGGTTTTTTTATTAGCATTTTAGGAAAATCTGCTGAGTTGTTCTGGATTTTTTACTTTCCTGATATCCATTAAAATTTTCTAAACATCCAATTAACTTTTATAAACATATCACATTTCTTAGATCACTCCTAAATAGTCTAAAAGTCCAGATATTTAATAAATTTTTTATTAAAATAATATTACACAAATAGTTTATACTATTTGAACTTTATTATTATTACTCTAAAAGATAATTACACAAAATGCCAAGCATTATCAATGTTGAACCTAATTCCTTTGATCTTGATAATTATATCTCTCTAAATATAGTAACAGGTTTAGTTCTGTTACTCATGACAATAATGTCTGAACTCTTAAAGTTCTACCAATCAACTTTATTTCAATAACATGTAATCTAGAAAACAGGTTCAATTTTTTTGCTAAACCAACTGAACCAGTTATTACCACCTGTCTTTACAAAAAATATCATACCTATTTTGCCTCACAACATATTACTATTTCATTATCTTCTCAAGCTATTCTAGAAAACATCTCAGATACATC